CATTCCCAAAGCAGGAAGTTAGAGGGTTCCTGTTAACCCTTTGAGGACCAAGGGACGTATTTGTCCCATGTTTGTAATTGCGTGTATCATGTGATTAAGAACTTGAAACTCTTTTTTTTTTTTGGTTTGAGTCAAACTATTAGTTCTTATCAACAAACAACAAATGGATCTAGCTTTTTGCCAATTATTTCATGAAATGGCTTAGTTACAGCAACTGAAGTGTACGAACTTTAAAAATGAAAAAATTGATTCTTTTGGCGTTCCAAAACCTTAAGGTCCTCAAAGGGTTAAGGAGCAGAGAAAATTTTTCAGTTACCTGGTGGTTTGCCATGACATTGTTACTGAGCATGGGGTCCGAGTCAAACTCAAACAGTACCAAATTCCTGAAACTAGGAAAAAGACATCAGTGACGAAGTCAAGCGGATGCTTGAGCTAGACTTCAATGAATGGTCTAATCCCATTATTTTAGTCCCCAAACCAGACAGTATTTGGAGGCTTTGTAATGACTTCAGAAAGCTTAATTCAGTGACAAAATTTTACACCTACCCTATCCCCAGGGTAGATGAGCTCATAGACAGACTTGGGAAGGTCCGTTATCTGACCACTTTGGACTTGACAAAAGGATATTGGCAAATCCCCTTGACTGAAAAAAAACAAAAGAAAAGACTACAACCCCTGAGGGTTTATTTCAATATAAAAAATGCCTTTTGGGTTACAAAATGCCCCTGCAACATTTCAGAGGGCCATGGACAGAACCTTAACACCTCATCAACAGTATGCAGCAGCATATCTTGACAACATAGTGATACATAGCATTGACTGGGAGTCTCACTGGCCATGTTCAGGCTGTCTTGGATTCTCTCTTCAAGGAAGGTTTTAGGGCAAATCCCTAAAAGTGTGCCATTGGTTTAGAAGAAGCCAGGCATTTAGGCTACACTATTGTATGAGGAGCGGTAAAACCTCAAATGAACAATATAGAAGCCATCCAAGAATGGCCACAACCTACAAACAAGAAGCAGGTCAGATCCTTCCTTGGTATCATGGCTTACTATACCAGGTTTATCTCAAATTTTGCAACTTTAGCAGCCCCATTGACTGAGCTTACAATAGGTAAATACTCTGTAATGCTTAGATTGTCTCCAGAAGCAGAGGAGTCTAAAGAGGACCCTTTGTGCACTGCCATTGTTGTATTCCCATGATTTTTCCAAGGATTATGTGGTTCAGAAGGATGCATCTGATGTTGTTCTATATACACAGTGTGTATATATACAGTGCTCAGCATAATTGAGTACATCCCTTCTGAAAAGTGAGATTTTAATCAATATCTCAATGAACACAAGAACAATTTCCAACATTTTGACAAAACTGAGTTTTATAGAACATTCACTTAGCTCATCACATGAAAGTAAGGTTAATAATATAACTTAAGATTACAAAATCTTCAGTTTTACCCAAATTAGTTGATGCAAAAACGAATACATCCCACAATAAAAGCTATTACATCTAGTATTTTGTATGACCTACATGATTTGTAAGCACAGCATCAAGTCTTCTAGGCATGGGATGAACAAGTTGGCGACATATTGCAACATCTATCTTGTTACATTCGTCAAGAATGACCTCTTTTAGAACCTGAATGATGGAAGAGAGTGATGCTCAACTTCTCTCTTCAGAATTTCCCATAGGTGTTCGATTAGGTTCAGATCAGGAGTCATACTTGGCCACTGAATCACTTTCATCCTATTCTTCATAAATGCAACAGTGGCCTTAGATGTGTGTTTTGGATCTTTGACATGTCGGAAAGATGCACGAAGACCAAAGGCACGGAGTGATGGTAGCATCTTCTCTTTCAATATAGAGCATTACAGCTGTAAATTCATGATACCATCAATGAAATGCAGCTCCTTGACACCAGCAGCATTCAGATAGCCTCACAAAAGAACACTGCCACCACGTTTCACTGTAGGCACCATGCATTTTGCTTTGTACTCCTCACCTTTGTAACGCCATACAGTTTTGAAGCCAACAGTTACAAAAACATTTATCTTGGTCTCATCACTCCAGAGTACAGAGTCCCAGTAGTCTCCCTTTTCAGCTTGGGCCCTGGCAAATTCTAGGCGGGCTTTTTCATGAATGGGCTTTAGGAGAAGCTTCCTTTGTGGATGACACCTATGCATGCCATTCCTCTGCAGTGTATGCCATATTGTGTCACTGAAAACAATCACCCCAGTTTGGCTTTCAACTTCTTTAGCTAACTACAGTGAACTTGCATGGTGATTTTCTTCAGCTCTTATCATCAGAAGAAGCTACTGTCAAGGTGTTAACTTCCGTGGATGGCATGGACATTTCTGAGAGATGGTTGCAGTTCCATCATTGTTAAATTTTTGTATCACTTTTGCTACAGCACCTGTGTAATGAGTAATTAGACTCACCTGTAGTTGAATTCTTGTTAATTAGGATTTTGTTGTCTAAAATTTAGCTTTGCTCCTAAAAAACTTTCATTGGGATGTGTTAATTTTTGCAACATGGCCTTGAATTAATTTGTTAGGAAGAAAACTTTTTTGTGTGTGCAAATGAATAAATCTTGTTTGAAATCAACGAAAATCATCTGAAAGGAAAAGGTTTTCTGACAAATCTGTTGTTGTGTACTCATTTATGCTGAAGACAGACAGACAGACACACACACACACACGATGGAATTTTTTTCGTCACATTTATTTCTAACAGAAAAAGTCTATTCATTTTGACATCAAAAGGTAAAGAAAGTTGTGGAGTAGTTTTGAACAACATTCACTGACCTGTTAAATAAACTAGGAATTTTCGTACAAACGTTTGTTGTAAAATCTACTAGTGTATGGCCAACTTTTGGCACACGATACCTTTAATAAAGTGGTTCTAAAGCCTTAAGGTTGTTCACAATAATGTATTCTATGCATTACGGTGAAAAACCTTCTGTGCCACGGAATCCCCCCCTTTTTCTTACCTGAGCTAAATCCAATCCAGTGATGTGCATGAGAGGAGCGGCTCTCATTGGGTAGATTGATAGCAGCAGGGTCATTTGCTGTGACCTTTGTGTCATTCAAATGCTGTGACCTGGGAGCAGGGGGCAGGGCTCTGTGTCAATGAACACAGACAGGGCAGCTTATGAGCAAGCCCGCACGGGTGCCCCCATGGAAAGCAGCTGTCCGTGTGGAGCACCTGCCGAAGAGGATGGGCCAGGAGTGCCGGTAGGGGATATAGACATAGTTGTTATTTTAATAAAAAAATAAAATAAAAACAAAGCTTTCACACTTTAAGTGCCTTTTTTCTCAAAAAATTCACAACAGCTCCAATAAGCCGTAACAAAAACAAAACAAGAACTAATGTCTCTTACACTTATACTGTGTTAGTTTAGCTATAAAAGCTGCAGAGGTAGTCCACCCAGTGTCAGACTATGCAGCTACCAACAGCATCCAATCATTGGTCATGTTGGATCTCATTTTTCATACTGACAACAATCAATATGTCTGCCACACAAACAGATGTACTAGTGATCTATTGCTGCATAAGTGCATAGGAGGCAGGATTATGTGCCTGCTAACCTCATCCACACCCACCATTAACAAATAAAGTGTACAAAAAATACTAAATATTAAAATAAGTCAAATAAAACAAAAATGCCACCCCCATTAACTTCCCTGTCCCAGTAAATATTGATGTGCTTGATATGTGTACAGCCTAAGTTATGTAAGTATGTGCAAATCTCATTGCCACTCATAAACCTGTAAGAAATGGCACTATTGCTAACATTTCTATCTGCAAATATCTGATTCAATCTTATATTAGTATTACACTCAATTTTTAAACACACAATGTAGCACTGAAAGAGAACATACCTCTTTTAAATTAAAAAACATCTGACTGCTTTACCAGGAAACTTCATTGTGAAAAAAAATCATAAAAAGTTGGTATTCTTTAAGTCACTGGACATTGTCAATTATATATTGGGGTATAAATCTGGGCTTGTGTCACTTATGTAAAACTTGAAATGAGAAATTACAAAAAAAAAGTATTTTTTTTTTCACAACTGAAACATACAATGTAACATATTTTACAACTTTATTACCGAATTAAAGCTTTTGGCCCCTTTCACACTGATGGTCTGATCGGACCATCTATAGACCTCTATGGAGCGGTGGGTGTCAGCGGACAAGTTCCTGTGGACACCCCCACTGGCATCCTACCCGATCCTGTACGCCAAAAACAGACGGATGGGGATCCGTTCCCCTACCATCCGTTGGATCGAATCGGATGATAGTCGGGTGGAAAAGGACAGGTGGTCTGTTTCCATCCGACCGCTCCATAGGAAAAAGCATGCTGTGTTTGTGTCTGCTTTGCAGCAGCGGAGCGGACACAGACCTCTCATCCGCTTGCTCAGCGGGGATCAGCGGAAAGATCCCCTGCCAAGCAAACAGATCCGCTGGCGGGTCAGCCTCATCGGAAAGGGGCCTTATGTGTCCACAATATACAGTATGTATAGGATGGTGGAATAGACAAAACATGCAAAGTGTTGTTTGGTGTGAAACTTAACAAATTAAAAGAAATTCTACCACAATAGAAAAGGTTCTGTTTACCTACCGTCAGCTGCTGTATGAGGAGCTCCAGAAGGAATGTGATCTTACTGCTCATGAGGACATAGGTGCAATTGTCCGGACAATTACTACATGTTAACGTGTAGAGATTTACAGCATTGCACAGTGACCTACAGACATAAAAATATTAATTACATATAGGTATCATACCAGCTCTGCTATATGAAGATATAAACAAAAAAATAACAAAAATTTTCACTCACTCACTAAGGTCTACTTAACACTCTAAAATGCAGACCACTACCACACACGCATGTGTTTCAGCAATATATTTTAATGGTGTTCAAAAATAGCTATCAACTGCTCTTTGTATTGTAGTATAAAGCTGTCAATAAAACATGAAAAAGAAATCCTTTAACACACACACACACACACACACACAATATTGCCAAAAGTACTGGGACATCCCTTCAAATCATAGGATTCAGGTGTTCCAATCACCTCCATGGCCAAAGGTGTATAAAATCAAGCACATATGCAGGCCATAGACGGAGAGAAAACCGGACGTTTTTTTAACAAAAAAACGAAAAATCAGTCGTTCAATAGGCCAACGTTACCACCAACAGTAAAAAAAAAATCGGTTGATTTTCTTCCCGTCTACGGCTGGCATTTAATTACTCCTGTCCCTGCAGAGAGCCCCGCTATTATATTTGACATTAAAAAGTATTGCGGTTGCAACATTGTATCTATTTGTATCCATTTCGGATACAGATGGTTTTTCGGATACAAATAGATACATTGTTGCAACCGCAATACTTTTTAATGTCAAATATAATAGTGGACTGGAATTCTTCTTCTTTCTCTTCTTCTTTCTCTTCTGCTTCCTTTTCTTCTTCCTCTTCTTTTATTTTTTTTTTTTCTTCTTCTTCCTTTTCTTTTAATTTTTTTTCTTCTTCTTTTTTTCTTGCAGGTCACGGGTCATGCGCAGATTTTTTATCGGTAAAAAGATTGGCCGATTTACCCATCATTGTCGCGAAAATCGGCCGATCGGCAAAATCGGGCGATTTTTTTTCCAACTTTACCGATCAAAAAAATCCGACAAAATCCAGAAAAACGGCCAACCAATTAACCCATTAACGGTGCGAAAATCGGACGATTTTTTTTTCGGCCGAAAAATCGGACGATTTTCGACCCATCTATGGACTTCATTAGGCATGCAGACGGCTTCTACAAACATTTGTGAAAGAATGGGTCACTCTCAGGAGCTCTGTGAATTCACGTGTGGTACCGTGATAGGTTGCTACCTGTGCAGTAAGTCTATCCGTGAAATTTCCTTGCTACTAAATATTCCACAGTCAACTGCTAGTGGTATTGTAACAAAGTGGAAGCAACTGGGAACAACAGCAACTCAGCCACAAATGGATAGGCCACGTAAAATGACAGAGCAAGGTCAGCGCATGCTGAAGCGCATAGTGGGTAGAAGTCGCCGACTGTCTGCAGAGTCAATAGCTAAAGACCTCCAAACTTTGCGTGGCCTTCAGATGAACACAACAACAGTGCGTAGAGAGCTTCATGGAATGGGTTTCCATGGCCGAGCAGCTGCATCCAAGCCTTACATCAATGGTGTAAAGCACGCTGCCACTGGACTCTAGAGCAGTGGAGACGTGTTCTCTGCAGTGATGAATCACGCTTCTCTGCCTGGCAATCCAATGGACGTGTCTGGGTCTGGGGCTTGCCAGGAAAACGGTACTTGCCTGACTGCATTGTACCAAATGTAAAGTTTGGTGGAGGGGGGGATTATGGTGTTGTTTTTCAGGGGTTTGGCTTGGCCCCTTAGTTCCAGTGAAGGGAACTCTTAAGGCGTCAGCATACTAAGACATTTTGGACAATTTCATGCTCCCAACTTTGTGGGAACAGCTTGGGGATGGCCCCTTCCTGTTCCAACATGACTACGCACCAGTGCACAAAGCAAAATCCATAAAGAAATGGATGAGCGAGTTTGGGATGGAGGTAACAGCTCGCATTAGGATAAACTAGTGACATGACAAATGAATAAAGAGTGTATAAATTGAAAGGAATCTACAGGTTTTAAACCTAATTTCTATATTTTTTTTTTTTACACGACACAGCCTCAGTTGCAGGCTTTACTTCCTGTTTAAATATTAACTCCATCTTTTACACCAAGCTACAAAGGTGCACAGGGTGTAACATGGTGCCAAGAAGACCCCCTCTTCACCCCCCAGAATGCTTCCCTACCCCATGGCGGCATGTGGAGGTTCTCCCCTGCAGCAGCTGTCACTTTTGAAAGTCTGAGAGAGTCTCAGAGATTTGTGAATGAATGAACTACCAGTCCTTACAAGACTTGTAATTTTCAATGGAGCATGAATATGATAATCACTGCACTCGCAGTCCATTGACATATCCTCCAGCTCTCCAGCTGAAAACTTGTATCTCAATACAGACAAAGAGCTGGAGGAAGAGCCTGCAGGACCCTGGCACTGCAACCATTATCCACCGATCACAGATGCAATGCTTTGCAGGCTCTTATGCAAAAAAATAATAAAAGCACAATTTTTATCCTGAAAAAATTTGCACATTTATTATTATTATTTTTTAATGGTGGACTTAGCCTTTAATGTGGACTTGAACTCAAAATTTGAAGCTGTCTGGACGCAGAAAGTTTGGGGTTAATTTACTAAAACTGGAGAGTGCAAAATCTGGTGCAGCTCAGCATAGAAATCAATCAGCTTCCAGTTTTGTCAAAGATTAATTGAACAAGCGGAAGTTAGAAGCTGACTGGCTACCATGCACAGCTGCACCAGATTTTATTTTACTAAATCAACCCAGAGGTGTAACTAGAACCTTCAGGGCCTCAGTGCAATAAATCATCAAGAGCCCCTGACCCCTGGCCGGGACCCTACCCTCTGAGCCCAGTGGCAGAAAGCCAGGGCCCGCTCGCAAGTGCAACCTTTAAGACTCTAGTAGTTCCGCCCCTGGTGTCTGTAGTTATTTTTATTATGTTATTTTTTTTTTTACCATTTTATTTTCCAATTTTATTTTTTACAGTTTTTTAGAAGCCCTGTTGGGGGGCTTTGGTGAGATATCAGGGGTCTAAACAGACCTCTGATGTTCCACCTTTCAGACAGAGAAAGGAGATTGAGGATGTAGCCCTCAATCTCCATCTCTGCAGCCTGAGCAGCACAGAATGAATGCGCAGGAATAGCTCTTTACAGAGCTTCCCATTCATTCACAAACTGAAGCATAGTAAACACAGTTTACTATGCCTCAGTTATGAATTGACAGTCAGTGATCAGAACGGTTCACTGACTCTGTTCATTCAGACACATCCCTGCAGCAGCCTGCAGAATAGGGGAGGGGGGGGGGGGAAACTGGCAGCACTGCGGACAGATAAGGGGGGGGGGGGGCAGGAGAGCACACACCGGGGCAGGAGAGGACATGGGGGGCAGCAGAACCTAGATAGGAGGGACGGAGGGGACTGCATGTAGAGAAACCGATCCTCTCCAGTTTCTTTCTGAAGCCGCTGAATGTCTACGGGAGAGAGAGAGGAGGAGAAGTGGGCTTTCAGCTGTTGCAGATAGAAAATGGAGGAAATCAGTTTCTCTGCATGCTGTTCCCGCTGCCCATCTAATCCAGGTGTAAAGGGGGGCTGCACAGGTCGACCCCTCTAGTTACGCCTCTGTCTCCAACTACAGACCCCTGCCCTCCACTAATGGACCCTCACTCCCCAACTAATGCCCCCCGCCGATGGATCCCCACCAACTACTGCCCCTTCCTCCTATTAACAGCTCACCAACTACCACCCCTTTCCCCCACTGACAGACCCCATACACAACTGCCCCCACTGATAAACTCCCCAACTACTGCCCCCCTCTCCCCCACTGACAGACCCCCTACCCCCCCAATTACTGCCCCCTGACCCCCACTGACAGGACTCTCCCAAATACTGCACTACTGACAGCACCCCACTGACAGTACACCCCCCCCCCCCCACTGAAAGACACCCCCCACCACCTGTTTTTCTTTTCCTGTAAGTTAATCAGTGGGTACTTTAAATAACACCTGCTGGTTACATGGCAAAGGAGGCACTTGCGCGGCTCCCTCCCTGGAAGCTATGGGGTTAAGTCTGTGCAGCTGCCCCCCTCTCCCTTTGGTTGTCACAATGCCAGCGAAGTTGTGAAATTTCATGAAAGTCTGCAGTCCCAGCCTTTGTTGTTGTTGCCTGGCATTGATGGAGTTAAATACTTTCACATCAAAGTATTATCTATCCCCACTTGCCTGAAACAATGGTCAGGAGCTGCATGAAATTGTGTACCCCCTCCAGCATGTTTAGAGTTAACTGCTTGGCTCAAGCTCTCAGCACTCAGTTTGTTCCCCTGATTGCTTCCCTGAAGGAGCTGGAGCATGTGCACAAGCCACAGGGGGGTGAAAAGCGGTGTATTTACCACAAGGCAAACAAGGGAGGCAATTTTCAGGGGATGGCACCGTCCCCTGGAAGAAGAGAAACAAGTGGCAGGGATAGGGACCTGGTCAGCTCCGCCATGAGATCTGGACGAGGCTGCGCAATGCTGGAGGGTGTGGGGATGGCCTGCTGCTTCTTTCATTGCAAATGCTAAGGTTAGTCGAGTGGATTGGGTGGTCACAGCTTTCGGATGTGTGCTGGTCAGTGGGGGGTGGTGGGGGGAGAATTTATTGCGGTGATGGGCTGTGGTGGCGGCAGCTGTGGGGCACCCGGTTTTAGTGTTGCCAAGGGGAGCACATGAACTAAATACATCACTGGGTGTGAGGGATGCCGGATTTCACGGGATGCTGGTACTCATTCTACAGCTGGGAAAGGCACATTTGATCAGGCATGCCTTTCATTGACAAGCCCGATGACATGACCATCCAGAGCCCGCCCCGCTGACTGAGCCAAAGCTGCCAGTTTAGCAATCGGGCCATACAGGCCCCTCTGGAGCATGGGCGAGGTCGCAAGTGTGATTCCTGTAGCTACGCTCATGAATCAACCCCTTTGTGTCCAGGGATGCTCATCTGTCCCTGTAGACAAGTATCTCTGAAAAAAATATAAAAAATGGTATGTACACTTTAGTGTACACGGCTTACTCAGCACTCCAAAAATTTGGTATAAATGTCCCTAATTAAAACAGAAAATCTTCCCATACATAATATAAAGTGCCCAGTGAATAACTTATCTTACATATAAGTAAATAAATGCAAATTAAGCTAAACAGTCTCTCTCAAAGTGTTCAGTGCATAAATGTCCACCAAGAAACTGTGCAAGTATATTTCATTCCACCACTTCAACTTTTCACCTTTTACTGCGTCATGCCCCCCTCAATTGCTCCCACATTCACCGGAGGGATTTGACTTTCTGCAAACAGCAAAAAGAGTCAAACAGGTATTCCATCTGATTCAAAGCGGTTTCTGAGGACGCCCAGAGGAGAGATGAAACATGCTGGGCGGAGTTTCTGGATCCAGCGAAGTCACATCCGATCCATAGAGCACATGCAGCGGCAATGCTTCCAGGTTTACATAGTATGCCTGCATACAACTGTTTTTTCAAGTGAGTGCAAAGTTGTATGTTCGTTTTTAATAAAAGTTTGCTACACTATTTATTTATTAATTTCAGGTACTTATATAGCGCTGTCAATTTACGCAGCGCTTTACATATATATATATTGAACATTCACATCAGTCCCCCTGATTGCTTCCCTGAAGGAGCTGGAGCATGTGCACAAGCCACAGGGGGGTGAGAAGCGGTGTATTTACCACAAGGCAAACAAGGGAGGCAATTTTCAGGGGATGGCACCGTCCCCTGGAAGAAGAGAAACAAGTGGCAGGGATAGGGACCTGGTCAGCTCCGCCATGAGATCTGGATGAGGCTGCGCAATGCTGGAGGGTGTGGGGATGGCCTGCTGCTTCTTTCATTGCAAATGCTAAGGTTAGTCGAGTGGATTGGGTGGTGCTCAAGGTGTGTACAATCTAAGGTCCCTAACTCACATTCATACATACACATATTAGGGCCAATTTAGACAGGATCCAATTAACCTACCAGCATGTCTTTGGAGTGTGGGAGGAAACCGGAGCACCCGGAGGAAACCGAAGCAAGCACAGGGAGAACATGCAAACTCCATGCAGGAGGCACCCATGATCGGGAATCGAACCCATGACCCATTTACTACAAGGCAGATGTGCTAACCACTAAGCCACTATGATACTATTCCCCTTTTGCTCACATATATGGCTGAGTATTGAGTCCCATGCAGAGTGGTATATAGTGGATGAAAGAGCATGAGAGTGAACAGAGTAGCAAGAGGCCAAAGAGTCAAGTTGTGAACCTGGCAGGAAAAGCATCTCCAATGCCAATACAGCAATAATACTGGAATGCCTGTTTGACTCTTTTTGCTGTTAACAGAGAATAAAATCCCTCCAGTGAGTGTGGGAGCACTTGAGGGGAGCATGAAGCACTAAAAGGTGAAAAGTTGAAGTAGCAGAATGAAATATACTTGCACAGCTTCTTGGCAGTCATTTATGCACTGAGCACTTTATGTTATGCATAGAGATTTTTTTTTTGTATTCATTTAAATATTTGTATAAATTTAGTATTGCCAGCACTGTGAAAATATTTTCTATTACATAGCAGGG